GTAATATTAAATAGAATTAACTCAGATCCTTCACTCTAGATGGCTACATATTCCAGAAAGTGCTATTTCCTCTGCTGCTTGGGTACCTGCCTGTTTATCAGAAATGTTCAGACGCTCTTAATTATTCAGACACCATCACACCGAGATGATTTGGTGTTAAACATATTCACAGGATTTAACAGCGCCATTTGTGGTGCAATTTCTTCCATGTATAGTTAGTTATGTTTTGTGATCCAGGAAAAACATTGTCCTTACAGCAGAGATGCAGATACCAGAACCAGAAGATCATACTCTAGTTGCAGAATAACATTTTCACTACTTACTAGTTATCTCGAAAGAGGTGTATGGAGGAAAACTTATGAAAACAGGAAGGAAAACTTATGCTTCTCTTACTAAGCAATTTGAATCAAGCAGGGAATTGACCACTTATTTCTTAAAAGCCATTGCCAGTTTGGCTTTTTTCCCTTACTGGACCAGTCTGGCCAAGTGTACAGGTCTCCCATGATCATGGGCCTATTTCTAAGCCTCATTGTTGTTTCCACAGAGTAATTGCATCTTATTAACACTGAACTGGTTTTATATAACCCAGGGTTTGTGAGGTAACAGTCTGTAATGACTGAACACTAACTACCCAACCTAGAAAATTCCTATTATAATAAAGGATAGATGGCATTCTAGCAGCATGCCAGTACAAATTCAATAACATCTTAACCTAAAGCTTTGCTTGCTTGCTTGCTGGCTGTTGGAGTTATTGAGTATTCTAAGAGTCCAATCTATGTCTGCTATTTTGGGTGTGTTTTCTCTGACTCATTTTGGGTCTGATCCAGTTTTGCTCTGATGAGCTGCCAATGTTGCTTTTAAAAGCTTTTCTGAAAAGTGAAGCATATAGATATTACTACCAATAGTGCCAATTTGTTATTGCACTCACATCCAAGGAGTGATGTATTTCATACTGGAATGCGGATGGGTAGACAAAGTAATTATCCTAATTACTTTAATTTACAAATTTACTGTGCAGTTCCTGCAATACACTTTGAACAGATGGATTTTAACTATGTGATTCAAGTTTGCACACAGAGGAACTTTCAACAATAGATATTTTGTAGTGGATTCCTTGGACAATTCACTAAATGCTACTCTAAATTACACTGGCTGCCAAAAGATTTAAGAGCTATTACAGTAGCCAGGATTGTTAGTGAACAAAGGAATCCCAGAGACAGATCAGTCTCTGGGCACACTGCTAAGACCATAATCCTATGGCTGACTACACTGGTTTTAAGGTGGCATGCACTGCCACTGATATTCAGGGTCAATCCTGAAGGTCTCCCTCAACTATCCAAGCCACATGATCCCCATCTGTTCTTACCTTGTGGATGTTATACACTGTGCTCATGGTCTTCAAGTAGAACTCTGTCTGAGGGCCACTTGTCTCTTCCCAAAGGTGCCCTAAAGAGTCAAAATGAAGTGTAGAAGGGAAATGGGAACAGGGAATTGTGGGATTATTGTTGGAGGACTTCCTGAGGTACCTGGATGAGTTCCACTCAGGGCTACTTGGCAGTCCAGCTTCAGACTGCTGCTCAAAGTTGAGTTTAGGGGGGTTTCAATGTAGATGGTAGGTGGTCTTAAGAGTTCCCCTAACTAGCAGTCTAGACATACCCTGGAGATATGACACAATGCTGGGAAGAAACTGAACTAATCAGTCTAGAGGCACAGCTGCACAGCAATCATGCATAAAACCTGGCAAGCATGCATAAAACCTGAAGATGTGTAATACCTGGCAAGCCTTTTAAAAAATATTGTTCACAAACCTAAAGACAGTCCAGGAATGCTAAATACTGGAGCTGAGAATGGAAAAATACAGATGTCTTTGAGGCTGAGCAGTGTAATATGAACATATAACATTTCGAGCAGGATGGTGTGAAAAGTGGGCAGGAGTTTACATAGCAAGGGAGTGAAGACTAGGATTCTGGCACAGACCATCTGAGGGTGTTTGGGAAATGTTGTGTGGCATATGGGCTCACTTGGAGATTGTGGCACAGGGCACATAGAGCCATTGCTGTGGCACGGGAGGGTTCTGCAACTACAACCACATCCTACCCAGGAGAAAGGGGCACAGAGCACTTCAAGCTAACGGCTAGAGGCTAGTAGCCCAGCCAATCCAGCACTACCACTGCACCTGTTTCTAAAGCATGTACCATGCTGCAAGTTTGTTAGCTTATTTATGCAGGCAATGCATATTCATTAACATGCACATTGCAGTAGTAGATCATTTACAGTATCACAAGCGATCAAAAAATCATAGCTGGACACGCTCACATCCTCCCCCACTCCTCATAATGAGGGGTTTTCAAAAAATTAGATTCTATTTCTTGGTGTGGCAATCAGGGCTGCCCACGCTCACTAACTCACCTAGGCTCTGCAGAAATTCTCATCCACACCCTTCCATCCCCTTCCCAGCCTTTAATTCTATCTCTGAACCTGCCTGTCCATCCTGTCCCCACACCATGGCCTCTGCTTATTACCTTGCCCAGTGCCCTCCCAGATCCTCCAGCAATTTTTTCCCCAGGCGCAACACTGCATTTCACGTGTCCTTCATTCTCCACTTTCCAGTTGAAAATTGCAGCTGCCTTAGGGCCCCTGCGCCCCTTCCAGGCCAGGTGGTTCAGGAAGGAAAAGAGGAGGAGCAGATGTGAGGTCCTTCTTGCTTACAAAGAGGACTAGAATGAGGGTGGTCAAAGCTACTTTGAGTTGCTAGGCAATTCCTGCTCCCTCCTTTCTTTTTATCAGGGTTTTAGTTGGGAGTGGAGGGTTGGATAGGGGCATATCTAACTTCTTGAGCAGTCTTGAGTTAATTCCAGGGTGTGGACAATGGAACAGGCAGCCAATTAGAGAAGGATTCCCTCCCCTTCAGCAGCTAAAATTTGACTGAAGGCTGGAGTTTCTTTTATAATCCCTAAACCAGCCCCAGCCAAAAATTCCATCCAACACTGTAGTTGTATCAACATGCCATTTTTCGGTTCTAGTGAGTACCAGTGCCCAGCACAGGGCAAGTCAGTGCCAATCTAATAGAAGACTGTCCACACTGTAACTCATATAAATGAAGTGCATCACACACACTAGAAGCCCCTTGCTTGCCTCCAATCTGCCTGTGCCATCATCCGAGGCTCCTCTATTTTTAGGGGCTCTACTCTTCCCCTCACACCAGGACTCAGTAATTCTATGCCCCCTCCCTCATGCCATTTCCTACAATTCTTCTCTCAGGGGCAGGGATTCTTGTAGCCATCTGCCCAACTCTCCACTTGCCAAGCCAGAGGCTTTGCCTCCCCTCTCCATCCCTTTTTTTCTATTTGGTCCATACTTCATCCCTGGGGTCTTATTTTTCTCTCCCAATTTGAACAGTTTCCAGTCAGTTGCCCCTCCTAGGTCCTTATCACAGCCACTTCTTACTCATTTGCAGCTGACAACTTTGCCCCTCATCTATATGCTTCTCTCCTCTGTATCCTTCCTACATCCCCTCATGAGCCAAATCCTCTTCAAATGCACAATACCAGATCCCTGCATCCCCAGGCCTGTCCCGTTCCTCTGGTCCCTGTTGTTTCTACCCCAGCTTTCCTCCTTTTCTCTCCTGTTTCCCTTCATTCTAATTTTTATTCCAGGCCCCTGTTTCTCCCCCTTCCCTCTATGAGGCTCTCATATTTCTGTTAGACTCCAGGCTACAAACAGCTTCTCTAAGCAGCAAGCCAAATTCTGATATCTGTAGGCAGCAACAGGGGACAGCTGGGATTCTTCTGCCTACGACACTAGCCAGTCTGGGGAGCCTTTCTTTTCCAGAATTCTAATTTGCATTAATGGTGTCCTTGCTGATGCCTTAAGCGGTCCCTGAGATTTTAGAGTTGATAAGATAAAGTGATCCCATTATCGCATTACAGAGAAATACTAAGTTGAATGTTCAGCCTTGTACTGTAATAAATGCAAATGAGACTAGTAGTATTTTACATCCAGCTTGAACTCATTTTGCTGTATATGATTTCACACAGACAAATCAACAGAGAATCAGATGTAGTGTGTTTTAGGATAAGGCCAAAGCATAGTTCAGTTACACATGGGGTGTGGATGCATCTTGTCTGCTATTCTTAGTTCACTAGAAAGCCGTGATACTTAACATGAAAAATGACTGAGATTATTACTGTCCAGGGAATTTCAGCAATGCCAAGCAAAATTCACTGAAACACCAGTCTTTTAAAAACAGTGAAAACTGAGAGAATGATGCTTGTATCGAACCATACTAGTCTGACCAATACCGATTTATTCAGTCAGATTCCAGTCTGAGTACTAGAATATTTCTTGACGCACCAAGAAGCAATTCTAGAGACAATGTAAATGCATGGCATGGTTATATCATAGGGACTGCAAAAGGGCTGATAACAAGCAATTTGTATGCATTGCTTTTGCCCTAGATAACAGATGAATTATTTATTATTTTTGGTCATATTCCCTTTATTTGGAGGATATGAAGGAGAGTGAGGGGTCAGTGTTGAACAATTTAAGCCGAAAGTAAATATTTTCTGTATACTTGAAATTCAGCAGTAGATTTTCTGGGGGTCTACATTTGTATAACTGTTGTCTGAAATACTGGTGTATACAGAAAAATATAACTGTAAACCTTTTTTGGGAGAGATTATCTTTTTCTGAGGTACTGATGTCTGTGCAGTACTTTTGTTTGTTAGTTCCCCTTTTTTAAGACATACTGAAGAACTCTTTAAAATGTTTTGGTCAATAATTAAAGCATTTTTCAAATAGAATAATAATGAGAATCTAATATGTGAACCATAACACAATTATCAGACTAGAAGCTATATAAGATTAGGACTGCCCTGCAAAAATTACAGTAACTATGAATTGTTTCTTTTCAGTAAAACTCTGATAGACGGAGTGCTAATTAAACGTTAAAGAAAAACACTTTAAACCATGTTCATTAAACAGGAAAACAGGATGGTGTGTAAGATTTCTAAAAGCAAAATTTAATAAATTAATATATGCATGCCAGATAAAAATACAAATTACAACCAAAATAACAATAATACTAAAGGAAACATCATTCAGTGTTGCAGCTTTTACTGCAATCACAATAAAAGGCATGGAAAATTATTTAAAGTTACATTCAAAGTACACATTTTGCTCCTGTTAAAACAAATTACTACCTGGCAAAAGAACTGAGGGGAATTAGGGAGAAATCACCCGAGAAAGTGGGAAAAGGATGATAGGAAATGTCAAGGTACAGCCAGAGGCCCCATTTCACAGAAATCTGCTTTCTTTTTAGTATTAGAAACCAATTACATAGAACATAAAAGCAAATCACAACAGGTTTACACTGAGAAACATGCTGAATTACAATCACAAACTATCCAGAACAAAGATGCTGCATCAGTTCTGTTGTTTCCTTTGCAGACATACCCTCACCAAAACAGGGAGGATAGGGAGCCAATCATGCAGTAGGTTTAGTTTTTACTTATTTTTAAAACATGATAAACACCCAGGATCACTAGTACTGGAAAGTATGTGTTAATCTTTTGTCAACATCAGCTGAATGGCACTACAGAAACGACACAGAGTTCCTTCATTTTTATCCTGCATACATCAAAAGCTATAGCAAATATGGAATTCAGCTACAAGAGAGCCAATTAAATTATTTTAAAATATCCCTTCATCTATAGAATATTGTTGTTTCCTTTTTCCTTTTTACAAAAAAACCAAACAAACAATTCAAAATAAAATGTCTTCATTTTTTATAAGCATTTCCACCACAAGTCTCTGATACCGGATATCGTTCAGTGCAGCCATTGCATCTAGTTCTGGTGCTCGCATGAGGGTTGGTCCAAAAACAATGCCAAGATTCTCTGCATTCATGAGATTCTCTTTTTCCCGAAGTGTTACCCTGCAAAGGACAATGTTTTTTGTTAAACACCAGGTACTGATTGCTATGATGGGGCAAAGAGACATATGCCTGAAAATCCAGGGGCAGAGAGAAGAGCAAGGAGCAAGCTCTTCACCTTTCCAAAAGTCCATGGAGAGGATCATTCTTGTAACAGGGACCACACAGATGTTGTATGCAGTGGCCAGGGGTTAGTGACTGCCAGCACTGTACATAACTATGGAATGACTAGAGTTGGAAAGAGCAGTCCTAGGCAACAAGAGGTGGATGCAGAGAAATACTGCTTGTGCAGCTTATAAATGCACTCAACTGGAGTCCATTTATGATCCCAGCTGTCTAGGCACCATAGCCTGTCCTCCCTACACCCACCACCAGGTGTGTGACCCGCATGGGCAGCGCGCATGACCAGGCAGCTGGGATGGGGGTGCCACCAGAAGCGAGATGGGTGGGCAGGGCTGGGGAGGTCCCCAGATCTTGGGGCGGTGACAGCATGGGGCCAGGGATGGGGCAGAGCTGCAATCTGCTGCCCACAGGCCTCTGCAATGATGCACCATGGATCACAATCTCTCCTTCAGGAACAGACAGCGCAAATTCCACTTTGCTGCACATATAAGGCAGTTGCACCTCCAGAAGGAATCACCTTGTGATAGTATTAAATCCAGCTGGGGCCCCACTAGATTTTTATTTGTAGAGGCCATTGAACAAAGTTGGCAAGACAGTGCTTTGGAAGGTCTACACCAGTTCTGGGTCATCAACTTGCTCTAGGGTCTTTGAGAAAGCAGGATTAGAGGCTGCCTGTGCTGCTGAGCCGTGGCTTAGAGCAACTTTCTATTGCTGGATTCTGGAACCTAGGTTCCACCAGTGGAGGCCATGGAGTTCATGATGCCTTTTCCAGTTACTCTATTAACTTCAGATGAACAACAGAATGTAATATGCCATATATGCACACAGGACAGAATCTACAGAGTGTACTTAGACTGAACATGCTTATGGAGCACAGAAACAGAATGAGGGCCTCCCCAACCTCTGCTTACTTGAAGAACAATAATAAATAAACCACTGTCTAGAGACACTAAGCTTCTCCTTTGGTTTATGGCTGTTAATTGCTTCTCTCCGTAAAACAAATGCAGATCTACAATGAGCTGGTTCACAGATTAAATAGAGGATTTAATGTACATTACTGCTTTAATAGCGAAAAAACCTAAATCCATCAGGATTCTCATAAATGACTCAATATCCATTGCTGTGAAGTTCATGGGTTGAAGTTCTTTTTTATTACAGTACCATCTGAGTAAAACCCCTTTAGGCATATAAAATTATTGTCAAGATTTGATTTTTTTTTTCCTGGTTGGATGAATTGTACCGAAGCTTCCAAAACTCAATGTCCTCATTTTATAAGGTCCAATGCATGTTTAGCCATATTTGGCAAAGACAATGAGCTATTCCCTCATACAGCTCTTTAGACTAAGTATCTTAAAAAATTAGAAATGAAATACAATTGAAATATTGTGATTTATGTTGTTCCTTCTTCCCGCTTACCCTGAGCAGCAATCCAAGACTTTTGAAGTGACCTGCTAATTAGATCAGCAACATCAACTCTTGAACAACAGGATGTAGAAAATTATTGCTTTGCAACTGATTTGTTGCAGGCTTCCTATTCCTGTGTCAGTTCTAATACATTCAAGGAAAGGGCCACTGTAATAAATGGACACTGACATACCTGATGCAGAATGGGTAATAGCTCTGGAGATGTATTTTCCAGCTGTACCTAGCAGGCAGCATATCCTAAAGTTAAACTATGCTTTCACTACATAGTCTTAAAACAAAGCTACTTATAAGGCAAAAGATAATTATTCATAAATGCCATTACGTGTGTGTCACTCAAGAAGCTAAAATAGATGCTTTAACCAATTTTCATGTTTTTTACTCTCTGTAGTGGCAGAAGAGCAATTGTTTCTTGCCTTGTACATATTCCCAGTACTTACATATTCAGTGCAAATTTGTTAGGCATATTACTTTCTTACTTCAAAATTGTATCTTTTTTTTGGTCTAAGTTCTTGAAGCCTCTTGAAGCAGAGAACGGAAGAAAGCACAATGTTTGTGTATGTGTTTTGGTGCATTTTAATACGTTGCTCCTTTATTATGCACATAGATTTGTTTATTCATTCAGGTATAACAATGCCCATTGTTTATAATGTTACAAAAAAACTCCATGGAATTTGCTTCATGGAAGCCCGTGCAAGCTCTAAAATGCATCCTTAAAACTTCAACACTCTCTCAGAGGCCCCGCACTGGCTTTTAATTCCATTAAATGTAGTAAGTCTTTGGTTTAAATAAACCATTTACCTCTTTAAATGTGCCATAAGATATCTTAAGGTTTCACAATGTGCAGGTGGCAGAAGTTTCAGTGCTTCATGAAGGATTTCCAGCTGTTCATCAGGATCTGTGGTTTCTGAAAGAAAGATATTTAAATATCATTGCAGATAATTAATTACAGAAGAACAGAACCATCTAGTGGGGGCGGGGGGCGCACAAAACATTCAGAACCAAGTTCTCATAGTTAAATTTGTTTTCCTCCAAACATATCTATAAGCCTCACACTATGTTCTGGAAAAGTTCCCGTTGAAGTGATGGGTTGACTGTCACAATAACCTCTCAGTCCACAACCTCTCCAATGCATTGCCAAGAATAAGCACAGCCAGTGAGGGTTTTGGGACGTGAATATCTGTCCATTAAGAACTGGATTGAGTCCACCAAACATTCTTTATAAGTTACTGACAAAGATGCTGACAATTACTGACTGGATTAATTTTGCTCAAGTAATCAGATGTGAAATCCTGGCCCTACTGAAGTCAGTTGGAATTTTATCTTTCCCACTGATCAGAATTTCATCCACACAGATTAAAGGTGTTCTTGCTTTATTTCTAATCACTTTTGTAAGTAACCTTGTTGCAAGTAAAGGAAAATAAAGACACACTTTAAATTATATTGTTGGCTGGTAAAACCGGGACTTATTTCTTAGTATGTATGGCAAAAGGAAGTATTTGAGAAAAATGGGAGGAAAAAATGTATCCAAGTAGTGCCATACTTAACTCTTATTATTCACGGTATGTGATTAGCCCTGCTAAAGCATAACATATAGAGCCCGGTGAAGAATCTAAAGGGCACTGCTAATAAATAAGGCATGTTATAAAGAGGAGAAAAATTAAAGTGAACAGAAAGAAAAACAGGAGAAATATATTTTATACTTACTTGCAGATTCTATAAATTTTGGGTAGGCATCATATGTGATGAGTGGAATTGGCAAGTCCCTGAAGTACAGTTTAAGTGCACCCGTTATAATGTTGATATCTTCATACATATTCACAGAAATATCTGCTTTTTCCCCATCTGCAGGTAGAAGGCAGCTGATGTTAAAGTTTTAGAATTAAAAATAATTAAAGTAGCATGCAATGAGAAAGCCTAGTCTGTTTAGCAAACAGTATTAAGATAAGCACCAGGCCAGACTCTCGAGCTTGTAAACTGTAACTTACAAAACTGCTTTTTGACTGGGAAGTTCAGTTTCACAACAAAGACCTAAAACCCTTTTTTATAAGAACCAGTCCCTTTTTCATCTCAAATTAATGACAAAAGATATAGGAATTTCCCTTTTGACTTGTTTTAACAATAACTCTGCTGCAGGTCAGCTATTCCTAATCACCAAGGATCCCCGTTTTCTCTCTTTAAAACCCCCAAATCCATGTTTTTCCATGATTAAAATGAAACACCACTATATGTATAGGTATCAGTTGAACACAATGTTTTATTGATATATTTACAATTTTAAAGCAACTTGGAAGCCTACCAGTGCCTCAATCATGGTAATAAAATACATTTTAAATACCTATATATTTTGGCATTTGAGTTTGGTTTTTTTATTATAGAAAATCAGAGCTTCTTCTCTCCCCCTTTGCTCACCAGGATGCAGGTCCAGCTGCAGCTTTGTCCCTCACTGCTTTGTGGTGCTGAGTAGCCCTGATATGCTGGTGCCCTACCCCTGCCGTTGCCCCTCAATCGCAAGCCACAGCCCCCAAGCTCTGCTGGTGCCTCACTCCTGACCTGCAGCCCCCTGATCCTGCCAGTGCCCCTCACTCCTGACCTACTGCCTTTCACCCCCCGGCCCCAGCCCCCCCAGTGTGTGAGGAAGGAGATAGGTGTGTGGGGAAGAGGGGTGTGAGCACAGGCAATGCATGGGGGAGAGGGGGTGGTGGGGCACAGGCAATGCATTGGCAGGGCGGGGGGAGGACACGTGCTCCCCTCCAGATTTCTGTGTCCACAGTGGGGCACAGGGCTCTAGCCAGGCTGGACCAGCTCCAGGCAGTGGACAGGACCCAGCATGGGAGGGAGTGCCATGCCACCAAGGTTGCCAAGGTGAGGTGAAGCAGTAATGGTGGCATGGAGTTGTGCCACCTGCTACTGCTGGGCAGGCAGGGGGTACCTCACTTTGGCAGCCATGGCAGCGTGGTGCACCCTCCCGTGCTGGTTCCCCCTGCCCCATGCATCCTGCTCCCCCCAGCCCCAAGTAGCCCATTGCAGGCTGGAACTCGGCCAGCCTGCAAGGGGAAACCTGCTGTTTGCCCCGGTTTCTCCTTTAAAGGAGAAAATCTGTGTTCTTCTGTGGCAAATGGAAAACCCAGAACCCTGCTAATCACTGTGTCAAAAACACATTTGTCAGATCTCTCTCTGTAGTTCTGCTAGTTTGGAGAGGCAGAAAGGGATGAGTACTAGCAGAAATTTCTATAGCTGAAGGGAGCAGTCCTGCCCTTGATTGTTATTATCACGTGGTGAAAATGGAAACTCTTAACTACAATCACTGTCTTCAGTGGAAGAGGATATGTTTAGTTCCTATGGCTGTATCACTATTTTAGATCTATTTTCCAGAATGAGGGCTTCTTCTCCAGTTGACTTCCAGAAAAAGATGGGTTTGCTAGTAAGTGAGGGCAGTAACTTTGAACGTTTAATACCTTTTCACTCTGTGACATCACTCCCAAGCCTCAGGTACCATAGAATCATAAATTCTGCTGTGGGGAAGAGGTAAGCCTTTAGTGTTGAAGGTCACTGCTTTTACATCTGCTTTTCCAAGCAGAAGGCAGCTCCCAAATGCATGCTCAGAAGAGTATCCAGCCTCTGCTGCTGTAGAACCCAGCAGGCAAATGGAACGACTGCCGAGGCACCCTTGGTCTGAAAAGAATCCTTTACAATATAATAGCATCAAGTTGCAGCAAATATTCAAGAACGTACCTCTATCAAATGCCATTTTAACATCTTCAATGAGGTCACTAAATCCTGAGACTCTATACAGCCCTTCAGAATTAAGACCTGTTAAATAAGAACAATTTCATGAGATTAAAATAAGTATTAATTTTACATCTCTCTTAAAATAGACTTGCTCTGTGCCAGATTCTTCATTTAAGGCAGTAGGTCAGAATCAGCTAAGTTTTAAAAGGCTTATCATACTTTTCACTTGGAAACAATCTAATTCTCATCCTTTTAACCCTGACCTTTGCACCAGCTGTTCACTATTGTCCTGCTCGGCATCCAATCATTTTGTGGAATCATGTTTACAATAATCATTCTCCGGGGTGAAAAATATACCAGCCCAATTACAAGCTAATTCTTTTTAAGAAGGTGACTGAGATTAGTATACCAGCTTTTACTGTACATATTTTTGAAGCAAAACTAATAGGCTTGCAAACAGTATTTAATGTGAACTGGAAGAAAGGAGAACATGAAATGCATCAACTAGTTTTGTTTTTAATTTATACTTCAGTCAATGCTCCTGGTGAAAATAACCCTGGAAAAATAGGAAGAAAAATATACATAGCCCCTATGGCCCTGGACACATTAAATTTAAGATGTGGTTAACAGGTTAATCACACCTTAAAAAGTGACCTGGACACACACACATGTCAAACTGAGGTGTGATGATGATACAGGCTGCAGGAGAACCCAGGGATTGGGCTGCTACAGCCAGATCCAAGGTTCCCATGCCTGAGGATGAGTAAAAAACCTGTGTACCACCCAGCTGGGTGGCACATGGGGTTTGGGCAGGTCCTGGTTCACAGGGGCTGCCATATCCTAATGTCAGGCTTCCCATGTGCTGGGAAAGCCAAAATCACATGTGCCACCCAGCTGAGTGGCACAAGGGTTTTTGCTCTTTCTAGTGCATAGGGACCCCAGGATCGGGCTGCCACAGCCTGATCTCAGAGGTCCTGTGCCCTCCAGCCAGGGTTTTGCTAATCAGCTGATTGTTGGCTGTAGCCTGTGATTGCTTTGGTTCCTGGCCCCAGCTAACTATCAGTTGGCTGCAGGCACCTCAGTTTCATCTTGCTGGTGCAGGAGAGCCTGGGTTCATGATCCCAGGATCCCCTGCACCAGCAAGTAAAGCACGATAGGATCTACCAAAATCATGCATTCTGCCATACAGATGTGGAATGACAGGAGGTGCAATTGTTGGGATCATGGATTAGATCCCATCATGTCTTACAGTGAACATTTGTCAAGGGCCTTTAAGACAGGAGATTATTCAGGCCCAGATAATGAAAGGAAACAGCTATTCCTAAGTGACACTGTGGGCACACACAGAAGTGAGTTTTAGAGTGATCTAGCCCCTGAAAGTGCTCTACAGCCATGACTTAACACATGGACATGGCTGCAGAGTGGTTTAAAAATGGCTGATTACACAATAAATTAACACTAGTTAAATCAGGTATTACATTAAGAGGCTCAAAAGTAGAGTGCTTTAGGAAACTTGTGTTCCCTACAGGGTTCATCTTTCAGGTGGAAGGTGGGCTGTCAGAGGGAAGGAGGGAGCTGTGGGGTGCTGAATGGCCAGAGCTGAGGGAGGAGTTTGGGGGGAGGAATGGAGCCCTTTCACCTCACAGACCCAACCCGACTCTCCCCAGTGTCTTAGCTGGGGGTAGCTGGGATGGGTCCATGAGGCAAAGGGGGCCCATTCCCTGCCCACTCCCCCTCGGCTCTGGCCCTCAGCTGGTAGGAGGGGGAGGAATGGAGCCCCTTACCTTGGGGTCCCAGCTCCTCCCAATATCCCAGCTTGGGTAGCTGGCGTGGGCCCAAGAGGTGAGGGGGCTCACCCTATTTTCCATTTCCTGCCTTTCCCCCCTGCTCTGGCTATGCAGCAGGTGGGAGCTCCCTCGCTGATAGCCCCAGAGCTGGGGGCAGGGGTTGGGAGGGTGGTTTGGCAGCTTTTTGGGAGGCTGCTGGAGCATCCCCACCTGCTGGCTTGGGCTGGTTCTGGCCGCCTCCAGCCCCCCGCTGACCAAACAGATGAATGTGTGTCAGGTCAAGGGAGGTTCTAATTCATGACACTACGTAAAGTGCCATGAGTTAGAGCACGGCCCTAACATCTGTCTGAACACAGCGTGATGTGTCCTTTAAAGCATGCCCTGCAGATATCCATGTCTTTTGTGGTAATTAGGAGTCCACCTGAATTGCTTTCTAGCGAGCTTTAAAAAAAAATTACAGATATTTGTGAATGAATGAATATTGCATGCAATACACCATGTAGGGTAACAGGCCATCATAAAGCACCTTGTGTAAAATGGTTTTAAAAGAAATCATAAATTCAGCAAAAATCTAGATGACCCAGATCAATCTAAACAGATTACTAGCAAAGCAATGAAAGTCCATTAGCTGTGTCTTACCCCTAGATTCAATTTCCCTAATGCACATGTCTACTACCATTGGTCTCTTAGTGAAGTGTGCTTTTACTAGTGTTGTAAGGTCGCAGCTGTATACTTTTTTTACATGCTTCAGGTCTGGCTTGCAGTCATTTGGGACCATCTTGGAGCATTGTTTGTGAACGTTTAAGCCACAATCTGGGAGAAAAATGAAAAGACAATTAATCCAGTGCTGGATGAAAAAAGTGTTATGAAGTCAGTGTTGAAAAGCGGATATTATTCTTACAGGGTCTGATCCTGCAGCCACTACTGCTGCAAGGATCACTCATGTGAGTAAATTACATAGAACCAGTGAAGATTTTAAAGAACATTTGTTAATCAAACACCACTTTCCCATTCTAAGAGTCAAAAACAGATCTTTATTTCCATAGAGTTTAAGAAATAATAACTTTTTTATAGATTTTTAAATCTACATATAGAATTGACTAAAGAAAATGAAATAATTCAAGAACTATATTAAAGATATAATTATTTACTAAATTTGACAGCTTTTCATAGTAATTTATATAGAACCTTATTGGTATAAAACCTATGATATTTTGTAGGACTTACGCCTTGGGAAGAAACTTACCATTAAGTAATCATTTTCTCTTATATTTTTGCAGTACTAGTCTATGATCTAAGCTTGTTTATTTCTTCTCCTTCACAATTACTGTATTTACTCATATACCACATATACCTTTTCCCCAAAAAATAGCCTTGCAAAATTGGGGTGCATATCTTAAGCAGGGAAGTCGATTTTTCTACCCAAAATAGAAGAGAAGATAACTTCTGCTTCTTTTTTTTTCTCTTCCCTCCAGAAATGAGCTGGAGGGAGAGGCAGAATCCAGAAGGGGCAGATCTAAGAGGGATATAGCCGTACCCGTTTGGATTCCTGCTCTACTTAAAGTTTAAAACCAACTGTCCTGCAGCAGCAATGGCATCTCTATTCCGGCAGGGCTAAGGGAATCAACTGACTTACTAACTCATTACAATCTACCTGATTCCTGCTAATTGCTCTTTATTCTATACTCTCTTTCCTTTTTAATAGTTTTGAAGTTCCCTTAATCAAGCCTTCCTTTCTCCAGCCTACTCTGCTGTCTATCAGCTACTTCTGGTCTCTAGCCTCCCACTTCATAGCCCTGCAGATTGTTTTTAGCTGTTTTCAAAATGATAGATTTGTTGATAGAGTCCAATCTTCAGCAGCTAGTTTTAGCTTTTGGCTGAGCAGCCAAGAGCTGCTGACAATTCAGCAGTAAAAGGGTTTACATTGTAGCTTTTACCTAAGGAGAAAAAGGAATGCAAGTGAACTGAAGATTAGGTCTTGTCCTTACTCTATGCAGTCACAAGTCTCGAAAAATCTTTTTTTCTATATTCTGCCTTACCCAAATGAGGCATGAGACTTATTTGAGGGTGTGTAGTATATGAGAAAATACAGGTATTTTAGCACCTGTCAGGCCGTGACATTTACCATACTACTGAGCAAAATAAGGAAAGACCTGGCAGATACTGTTTCTTCAGAAAACTACAATCCTTCTTCACTATGTGTGCCCTGCACTGATACTATATCTATCATATCTTGCATGTTACTGGAGACTGGCCTTCCTTGCCAAGAAAGGCAACTCAAGTTTAACACTGTTAGTTTTCTTATCTATTCTGCAGTTTGGAAATGGATTTGGTTTATAGGGGGCTTCCAAACTGTTTTTGTTCTTATTGAGCAAGTACATTGGGGGAAAGTATCAATACACAATAGTTTTATTTCAAATGCTGTTTCACATGCTATCGTTGAATGAGAATGCTAGCAATCACAAAATAATTTTATGTTAAAATGAATTAAGAAATATTTTCTTTAAAAATAAAACCACAGTTACTGTAATCATATTATAAATGAAATGTTAATCATTTTAGAGTGCAATGTAACTAAAATTGTCAAAATTGTGTCAAGCATAAACATCAGCACTAACAGTCCTCTTGCAGAAAAAGTAGGAAACCAACAATGGCCAATAGCTGTGAAGATGCGTAGAACAATTCAATTTGATGAACACATTGTCTTGCGCAGAGCTCAGTTGAATTCTTTCTGACTTCACTGGCCATTCTATCAGGGTCTCTGGTGTCTGGCAGTAAAGATTCTGGTCTACACTGTCCCCCTGATATTTTATGACACTCCTCAGCATGCCCCCTGATTTGTTTCAAGTCCCACATACCAAACTTAGATATGCAGTCATGAAGCTGCTTCAGGGGTTCCTCCTGCAGACACTCTTGAGACCAGTGTCTTCACTGTGCTTACATGCAGCCACTGGAAGTGCTCCTAGAGTGATGTCACCAGGGTATTTCCAGATTTGGTACAAGCAAGCGAGATGAGATGGGAGGGGCACGCTTGAAAGTGTCCATTCTTGGGAATGCCTGGGAATGTGATATAGCTACACCCCAAGAGGTTTTCAAGATGCTGAGTATTTTCAACTGTTATTGGTTACCAGTGAGGAGTGTGACACTTTGCAAGATCAGGCTCTAGATGACATGAGGAATTGCTATATCAGAGATGCACTTTTTCTCAGGCCCAAATCCCGTGAACACTTGCTACCAAGACTAGCCTACTAGTGGGCCTTCTCATGGTATTAGAGTTAAGCCCGTTTGTAAGAATTTGCAGGATAAGTGCCTGGTAAAAGACTTAAGAGTATCGCTTTTTACCTGTAATTCTGAGTGTCTATATCAGGGGTGGGAGGGCTGCTTACCCAGTTTTGGCAGGCTGTCAAGGGCCGCATGGGTAGCTCTGCCCCTTGATAGGTGTCCCGCCCCCTGGTCACCATCTTGGGACCAATGTCCCAGGGCCAGCACCGGTGGGCCCAAAGCAGGGCACAGGCTGCAGGGGTCTGTGGAGCCCGGCTGGGGTGCACCAGCAAGGAAAGGGGGGAGCTGGCTTAGCTCCATAGAGCCCCTGTTGGCCAGGACCCTGTACCCCTGCCACCCTGCTCTGGGCCCCACTGGTGCTGGCCTCGTGCTCCTGCTGGCTCCCTGCCCACTCACCCCCAGTGCCCTGCAGTACAGGCGG